AACCTGTGAAAAATGAAATGAAAATTAAAAGTAAAATTTCTTTTAGTCTGCTGTCCTTTCACTGATCTACTATAGTTCTCAAAAAGAGGGATGATATCTCCTCACTCGTTTTCTTGAGCATTAATTTCCCACCCCCGGCTTACTACGTCTCAATACGGCTCTTACCGACATATATTCTGATCATTTTTTGGCTGAGTAAAGTGAATTCAAAGAATGAGTGCCAAACTCTGAAGTATGATGATTAATTCTGAGTAAAGAAGAACATGCAAATCAAACCATTACAAGCCAAGCAGTATCCATAATTGCTGTGTTTAAAGATTACTTAATTGGAGAGAAGTATAAAGAAAAATGTAGGTAAGGAAGTGAGGGGGTGTATCAGAAAGATTTGCTAAAAAAAAGAGGAATATGGCATGGAATGCGGAGAGAGGTGACAGGCCTGCAGACGAGGAGCTGTCCTGGGATTACAGGTGGGGGACTGCCTTCAGAGTTACATCTTGTACAGGCGCCACGCTGCCACAGCTTGCCATGGACACCCAGCAAGGTCCTGGGAGCTCCGTACACACAGCAGGCTGAGAGGCTCCCTGTCCCCCACCATGTCACCACAGTGTTTCGGAGTCTTAATACCTAGATGATTGTAATGGTTGCCCCAGTGGGTTCCTGCCTGCAGGTTTCTTTCTCTCCCTCCCAACCTAGCCTTCATGCTGATGGTATTGTCTGATTTTCTTTGCGTATAGCAAGAACCAATAAAATGTGAATGAATAAAAGGACAAATGAATGAATGAAAAAATTGCGAAGTTACACAATCACTAGGTCCTTCATGAATAATTTTTTACTGATAAAGTATTATTTAAAAACCTAGGCAGAAAATAAAAGTTATTATTCTTCCAGAATTAAAAAAAAACCTTGATAAGGGACAGGTTGGAAAGTAGTGGAGGTCATCTTAAGATATATAAGACCAAGAAATAAAAGCCTACTTTTTTTATTCTCACCCAAAGATATGTTTTATTGATTTTAGGGAGCAAGAGAGAGAGAGAGAAAGAAAGATGTGAGAGAGAGAAATCAACTGGTTACTTTCCTGTGCATCCTGAGCAAGGATTAAGCCCTCAACCTCGGTATATGCTCTGACCAGGAATCAAACTCACAGCCTTTTGTTGTACAGGATGATGCTCCAACCAACTAAGACCTGGCCAGGGCAAAAAAGCCTACTTTTCTTAAAACTTAAACAATAAGGAAGAAGATTTAGTGTGTACACACACACACAATTTTCAAAGTTTAATTGGAAAAATAGCATTTTGTGGTCTGCTCTTCACAGAAACCCAGAAATTGTATGGAAGTTTATTGAAGTTATAAAATGTGAGAGTCTCAACATCTGCTGATTAAACTGTAAGCAGCCAGTTCATATACAAAAAAATGCCAAAAACAGGACACCAATGAAGATCACCAAAAATTTTACAGAATCTTGCCCTGGCTGGTGTGGCTCAGTGGATTAAGTATTGGCCTATGAACCAAAAGGTTGCCAGTTCAATTCCCAGCCAGGGCACACGCCTGGGTTGCAGGCCAGGTCCCCAGTGAGGCAACTGCACATTGATGTTTCTGTCCTTCTCTTTCTCCCTCCCTTCCCCTCTCTCTAAAAATAAATTTAAAAAATTAATTTAAAAATTTACAGAATCACTCAAACCATAAGCCATAATTTTACCCACAAGGTAAAAGTTCATCAAAATTATGAGTATTTTACAATGTAGTTTTATTATTAAAAATATTTTGTCTGCACAGTCATTCTGTTGGAAAAAGCATGTTTATTTTTCATTTATAATTTGGCAATTGTGGTTTGTATAAAGTGTATCAAGTTAAGACTTGTTTAATTCTTTCTATAATGGCACTATCACTTTATTTTTTATTTCTAGACGATATTTGAAGTGTATACTTAGCTCTTAAATCCATGCAGAACAGCCTCAACATGGTTTAAAAAAGACTCTTGGGACCTGACATCAGTCGAATAATTTAGAAAAGTTTCAAAATGCTAAAATAATGCAAAAATACATCTTGCGAAGTGGAAATGAAAATGAACTAAGCTTTTGGTTTTACCTATGGGAAATAATCTTAATTTTATATAAAAAGATGATATTGCTGGTAGTTCTTCAATTAACAGTTTAACATAAATTTTTAAAAGGAGTCTATAAGACATAGTAAGTTGGACTACATAGTCAGTAAACTCACAAGTCCTTTGAATTCAGTAATCAGTGAGGTCATTGTCTAAATCTGCTTATGAATAAATTACTTTTTTCATGTCAGTAAATATCAGAGCCTCAGAATCGCCTTGGCAGCTGTGCAGCATTTGATACAATCAGGTTTTCATTTTGACAATGTTAAAGTTAAATTTATTGCGGTGACATTGGTTAATAAAATTTTATGGTGTTCAAGTATAGTGTACAATGCTATGATACATCACCTGTGTATAGTACTGTGCACCCCATGCCACAGTCAAATCTCCCGTCACCATATGTTTGATTCCCTTTGCTGTTTGCTACCCTCCCAAGCCCCCGTCCCTCTGGTAACCACCACGCTTTTGTCTGTGTCTGTGAGTTTTTGTTTGCTTGGTTTTCTTGTTTGTTCATTGATTGATTTTAGTTTTTATTCCACATCTGAGTGAAACCACATGGTTTCAACTTTTTCTGAGTTATTTCATTTACCATGATATTGTCAAGGTCCATCCCTGTTTTCACCAATGGCAGTATTTCATCTTTTTTATGGCTGGATAGTATTCCATTGACACAGTCATATTTAGTGGTGAATTATCTGATGGCATGAACTGCAAGGTTTTGTTTTTCAAATGAGAAATTGTGCCCCCAGGGTTTCAATGACAGGCTGGACGGACTTTCATTCTTTGTGTGTGCTTCTCTATGTAACCTTTACTTCAGCTTTTGTTCTTTGCAGAAGTTGAGGTGATTTCTTGGTAAACTTTGTTTTTATTATTGCTGATAATGTTCGTGCATTATCTTTAACCCATAAACACCACGTTTAAAACAGGTGAGCCGGCGCTTTCTGTAATGGGATGGATAGTAAATGTGTTGGTGTCTGCTGCCACACGGCCTCTGCAGCAACTCTCAGATCTGTGGGTACAGCATGAACATAGCCCTGAACAACACATAAACAATGGGTGTGGCTGTGTTCCTATAAAACTTTATTTACAAAAACATGCAGCAGGAAAAACCGGGCCATAGTTTGCTGACCCCTGATCTGAAGGAGCATCTCTGTGTGGAGGTAGAGAGATAAAAGTTTCAAAACTTAAAGAATATCAACCTGTCATACTGCATAATTCATTGTTCCACAGGCTCCAAAAACAAGTATTACAACAAAATGAAGGGCTGTAAAAACCGAGGTTTGCTTTCACTGGTGGCTCTTAAGATAAGTCATAGTTTGTCGACTGAGTTCCTTTCCTCAGACACCCCCTGCTGAGCAGCCCTGCGCGGCCAACACCCTATTGGCAACAGGTGTGATATAATGTATGCAAGGTCCTGATCTCCAGGACCTACACCTTTGGAAACAGTAAATAGGTGGGGCTTTCATATTTTAAAAAAAATAGTCTCTCAGATAACTTTTAGTTTGTCTCCACCATGTTAGCCTTTTGTATGTGCTGCTAAACGAACACCGTTGCTTCCTAACTCCGTCCCGGGGAAGGCAGGCCCCACTCGCACCCCCAGGACTTTAGAAGTCAGTGTTTCTTTCTGCTTCCTTTATTTTACTTAAGGAAAAGAGATTCAAAATACTACTGTACTGTGTCATACTTCTTTATTTCGAGGTTAGGGAAGGGTTGGGTTTCAATTCCTGTATCTTGCTGCAATAACAATCTGAGCAGCCTTTGCATTTCCCCTGGGGGGGCCACTGGGATGGATAAATGTACTTTTAAAGTTTGCTTTTTAAAACCCGTGCTTCTGGAGGGTACAGTGCACAGACCTCAAAGGAAAGAGCAGTGGTCGCAATTTAAACATTCTTTCAGTGCACCACTGAGGAGGCCCAGCTAAAAAAAAAATGTGACTATACGGATATTTTTTAATGTTCCATTCTTATTTCTAACAGATTTCAAACACTATTTCTAATTAAATTTATTATCAACTTTAACAGCTGGTTAAAGCATAAGAATTATAGAAGTACTAGGATTTGAATTCACAGCCTTGAGGTAAGAAAAGCTTATCTCATCCAATGAGGAAAACAAATTAGTTTTTAAAATTTGGAGATGAGAATAATAATTTCGTAGGCTGTGAATCTAGGACACTAAAATTAATGGTAATTCAGTAAACTAATTAAGCTCTGAATTCCTTGGAAGATGTAGTAATGAACACTTTAAAACAATAGGATTTATTATACTTAAACTTTATGTAGCCACTAATTTTTGTGGCTTCTAAACAATGATAATATTTGGCAGTTTAGGCCATTCATTGTGGCCAAATTTATGCGCATATTCCTAGGAAAATCTCTGTAATATTTCCAAGCTGAGACTTTCTGTGTCCACTTTATTCTTTGGTAATGTGTTAAATTTTTCAGAATTCTTCTACATTGGTAGGACGCTCTATGTACTAAATTATACACCATGTCCTGTAAAACTGGCATCAAAATAAAAGAATGAAGTCATGAGATGATAACATTCCTTAGAATACTTAGAAGTCATAGCTTTAATGTATGAAAGCAGGCTTATGCCATCGACACTGACCTATTAAATAGATTAAGCTGAGGACATATGTCAGAAACTGTACTTCGGTGTAAGAATGTACCAGTGTCTAAAACCCTATAATATGACATAAGAGTCCAGCAATGACAATGTAAGTGAAACAAAATTAACATCAATCATAGATTCAGTTCTAGCATTAAGTTCAAAGAAACATCCTTGCATTATAAAGCTTAGGGTACAGTTCCTAACGCAGCGTGGGATGAGAGAAGGAGATGTCCGCTGATGAAAAGTGTTCTCTGGGAGATCTCATCCTCGCTGCTGTGTCCTTCCCCAGGATCTGCCACTGCGAAGGAGACGAAGAGAGTCCCCTCATCACACCCTGCCGCTGCACCGGCACGCTGCGCTTTGTCCACCAGTCCTGCCTCCACCAGTGGATCAAGAGCTCAGACACGCGCTGCTGTGAGCTCTGCAAGTACGACTTCATCATGGAGACCAAGCTCAAACCCCTCCGGAAGGTACAGTATCTGCAGGCATCGGTTTGGAAGAGAGAACTTGCAAAGCAGGCTTGTTTTAAAAATCCATTTCTTTTTCCAATAAGATTTTGCTAATATGCTAATATTTGTCAAGAGTACATGTCTTATATTGGGCTCAACATGTAAAATGCAGCCAAATGTTTGCAGATAATTCTTCCTTCTCTGTTTTATATTCTAGAGCCTCTGATTTTTATATCACTCTTCAATATCAAGTATATGCGTGTGAACATATATATGTGTGTGTGTGCATGTAAAATATTCTTGTAATTCAATGTAATTGAATTGATGGGAACTGTGAGAACATTGTACTTACTGAGGTCAATTCCCAAGAAGGTTAGATAATAGATTACCATAAATAACATGAACTCATCTAATTTCTTGAAAGGCAGGCATTAGGTAATATTAGAGAATGATTTCTTCTATAACGTGTGAGCTCTTTTCTGTTTGCCTTTATTTGGAAATTTGGTTTGAAGGCTCATGTATAGTTTGAGTAGATAGAAGAAGTGTTATGTTCCATAATGTACATTGAGCTCTAAGACAGAGAGAATTAAGTGCATTTTATCTACAAATTTATTCTTCAAATTCCTCATCTATGTTCTATTTTTCTAAAAAACAAAGATAAGAATATGAGTAAAAGATAAACTTAGCATCTCACTCAAAGCTGGCAGAGAAAAACTTGTAAAGGATACAAAGAAAATGAACTTTATATAATCCGTGTTTGATAGCTGGGCTCCTGGACTTTTGCATGTAACGTATTCATCTTGTTATCCGACCGTAGCCTTGCATGTACGGATGCCTCAATTTCCAGATGACGGCATGGAGACTGCAGTTTAAATAATGACTCTGCCCAGAGCCACTTTCTCATTTAAATTAAATGCGAAGAGAAAGTATATAAAAAGAACATTGCTTGGAAATAAACATGATGGGTTCTGGGATGAGCAGAGATTTAAAGCAAACAGTATTCCAGTAGGCATCTGATTGGTGACTAGCCATCACAATTCTCCATCAAAAATTTGTAAATTATGGAGAGAGAGAATAGCATTCCCTGCTTGTGCAGTAGCCTTGATTTAAAATTTTTGCCAGTTGTTTAGAGATGTTGAAACTGATGCACAAAGTGTCTTTGAGATACACATTGTCTGTTTTTGACATACAGAGTGACCCGAGTGCCAAAAGGTGACATTCTGTTCCTCGGGTCCCAGAGCAATCAAATGCCAAAAATAGAAATGGACCCTCATTCCTTGCCCTTTACCTTTCCCACTGAACAGATGCCGTGTTTTCTGGAGCAGCTAAATGACACATCAGGCCCCATGATCCTCTTCTACATGTCTCTTCTAACTCCTCGGGGCACTAAAGGTTATTTCATAGCATCTATATATTTCTCCATAGCTTTTTCCTTAACTTACATCTATATAAGATGTTCACTTCAACTTTGTCAAAAATAGTATTTCCATTTGAAAACCACAATCTAGAATAATAAAATATTCATATGTTCTCTCCTTCATACTATCTCCCCTCCCCCTTTTGGTATAGCAAGCAGTATATGATGCTGTATGTAACTTGCGAAGTCTTCTTACTATACCTTCAGCTTTCATAGAATCATCCCTTATCATATAATTTTCATTCTCTATAACTGATAAATCTACCAGAAAATTATTTTCCCCTCAACCAACCTGTTTGTAAACCAGAGAAATGCAGTGAATACATCTAGCCTTTTAAATAAATGTGAATATTCATTCTATACTAAGAAGATAATAAATATGTTCTTAGTAATGCATATGTGTGGCAACCCAGTGGGCACCTACTATCTGTTGATTAATGAAATACCCTAGTTTTTTAATACTTCCTTTGATTTGTCATAAATATTAATGAAGGACAGCATGTTGACATCCTTCATTTTTAATAGCATTCATATATCTACAGAGGATGTGAGAATCTCACCCAGAGGTTGCTTCCTGACATCCCATGGATGTAGTTTAAATTTGAAGTAGTTTTAACTTTGCATTTTAAATTTGAACTTAAAATTGGCATTAGTTACCAACGTTTAAACAAGTGATTATTTCAGGTAAAGCTCCACAGATCTATAGTTAAAAATCACAGGATTTGGTACTGGAACCACCTTTCCACAAGACAACAACCATGGGGAGCTAGATGATGGCCAGTCCTTCCAGAAAGCTCTGTGCCTTTAAGTTCTCCACCTGTCTCAGTCCTTTCTCTCTTTCGAATCCTAAGGCCTTGTGCCATCTCCGCTCCTCTGAGGTCCACGCTGTGGCTCTAGTGAAGGTAGCTCAACTTCTGGTCTAATACGTGAGTCCTAGACATGAGAAACACGCATTCTGTCCCTGCCTCTAGGATTTATGGGCTTCAAAAACCTAGAAAAAGTATTCCAAACTTCCACTTCCTCCTTTAAATCAGTGGGGTTCTGGGATAATACTTAAACAGCAGCATGCAAAATGACTTTTCAGCTTCTGAGGTGGTACAAACTATACTGAGATGAGGCATTTTAAATCTTTTCTAGATAGTTTGTTTTGATGGCACTGAGATTCATCCACAGTTTTCTTTTGGTAGCTTTTAAGTGGTCATTAAGAATGACAGACACAAAATTGGGTTAGAATATATTCGAAGTGCACTCAATTAATTGCTCTCAACTCAGTAATTCCATTACAGCTTATAACATTCTAAAGACCAACCACATGAAACAGTTAATTTAGCTAATGATTCTGAGTCTCTACCATGAGCCAATGGAAGCAGGATATTCTGTTTAGGTGGAATAGCTTCTTAAATTAGAAAGGTGCAAATCTTCATGGTCCAATGAACCTTAGGGCTTAATAGTTAGTCTCTAAAGATACCAGTTAAACCTTACTTCATTAATTGCTGATATCACTACACCAAAACCTATAGTTAGTAAATTCCTCAAGGTGTCCTAATATTTTCAGAAGAAAATCTTTAAAGTCTAAATAAAATCAAGAGCTTATGTGAGAAAGAGCAATTTTCATCATCTTTAAGTCAGTAGCTCAGTTACTTTTATAACATTCGAAAAAAGTCCTGTTAATTTTTGGAGTCACCCAGTTAAGAAATAATTCTCAAGGCCAGGAAAAGTTTTTTTAAAAAGCCAAAAATACAGAGAGCAGAGTGATGCCTCGGTGGGATTTGGAAATGGCACAGTGTCGGGGAGGAAGCATGAACTCATCTCCTGTTCTGAAGTTGAAGAACTGCAGGGGTTCAGATCTGAATCACTCCTGAGAGGGAGCAACCAGCTGCTGGATATGTAGCTAAGCTTGAAGATAGCAAATGCTACTGACAACTTTATGTCCTTGACTAAACTATTTCTTTATATAGTTTTCCATATATAAACTATTGAACCAATATTCAACTCTATGCATCCATTTATTCCATGTCTCATTTCTACAAATAAAATGAGGCAATTACCTTTGCTTAAGTAACAATTAGGTTGAACCATATGCACTTGTCATCCTTGCAGATCAAAAGCAGTTGAATATTTAAAAATTCGTAATATATAAATTCTATGTGAACACATTATGCTATATAAAAAGAAATAATTGTTTTGCTATTTTACATTTCCACCATAATGACTTAGGATGCTGAAGTTGCAATATCTATTTTAAAAAATTAAAGAAATGTATTTGAGAAATACTATGTTAATTCCTTCCTTTTCTTAATTTCATGTAGCATCCCATATTTTAAAACAGCCAAGAGCCTATGTAAGTTTCTGTAGTGAATCGAATACTCAAAGGTGATTATTGATTCCCTGCTGAACTGGAGGTCTTGCAATTCATAGCATGAAAAGGGGACAGAGAAGGGAATGTGGTTAGAGTCTATTGAATTATGTTGCCTAATCATATTAAAAATGTAAAATGGATCATTTGCTTACCATTATGGGGGATTTGCATTTTCGCTAATTCAACCACCACATACTGAATTTCTACTATATGCCAGATATTAAGAATAGATCAGTTAATTAAGTTAATCTTCATTACAATCCCATTCTTTATGTAGGCAAACATGAATCCCATTTTGCAGATAAGGAAACGGATAGTATCAGACTTACTTAGTATCATACACTGCAGAGCTCTCTGATTATAAAATTTATGCCCTTGGCGTTGTGACTCACTGCCTTAAGTTGCCCAAATCCTCCCCCTTCAAGCATCAAAGCATTAGCTTTTATTTAAACCACTTCTAATGTAAATCTTTTAAAACAATTTTATAAAGTAAAACTCTTTCTAAAAACCTTCCTTCTTAAACTTGCATGTTTTACCCAATGTATTTTCCTAATCGAGTTACATCATTATACAAACATCAGTTGTCTTTCTGGCTAAAAAACATTAACAGCTGTAGTAGCTTGAAAAACATATAAGGCTGTTTATCCTCATTTGGCTCCCACCCTTCTGCTGTGTTTTGAAAGCCCCTCTATCTGCTTTTTGTTGTTTATCCTTTTTCCCTACTCTCAGAGCATCCAGTTGTCTTTTTTAGTTCCTCCAATAGCCATTATTCAACTTCTTACATAGCTACTGTTTTTCTAATTCAAACAACAAAAAAAAGACCAGAGTTATAGAATTGGGTCTAGAAAAAGCTGAAGTCAGTTCTAGATGAACTTCTGCAAGATTCTATTTTGATCATTGGGAGGAGTTTCAGGGGTGTAAACATTCTGGCATCATTCTTGGAGTCTTGGAGTTCTCTTTGGCATCCTTCTTAATTTTCAATTTCACTCAAACTGTCTGGGATTCCATGATTAAAAAAACCAAAAATCTTCAGAGAAGATTTCCATTGCCCCCAGGCTGTTTCCCTGTAATGATAGTCCAGTTTGGGGGAGTCAGTTTGCTGTCCAGTTTCTTCACAAATATATAAGCCTGGAGGCCAAGGACATCTCTGTCCCACTATGAGGCCAGACAAAGCTTTCTTACACTTTTTGCAAAAAAAAAAAGTCCTCATAATTTGCAGTGCATGCTTGTTCTCTCATCTTTTTG